TTGGAACTGGATGTTCTTAAGGTCCCTTCTAACCCAAACCATTCTGTTTCCATAATGTCACCAAGGGCTGCCAACCCTGCATGGGCCACAGCATATGTATGGTGCATGGCTTTATAACCCACACACAGCCGGTCCCAGGCTTTCTGGAGTGAGCGGGTGCCGCACAGTTGCTCTCCACATGTGCCGCAGGTTTGGCACGTCTCCGACGCGTTGGACCTGCTCGTACGTGCTGCTCTGAACGCACCCGCTGCAGACAGCTGGGGAGCCCCCGCCAGCCAGATGGTCGAAAAGCTCCCTGCACCTGAATCCTTAAAAAGCATTTGTTCTCCCAAAAAAAATCGTTTGCTCTCCAAAAAGGGTTTAGCCGAGACGTGGGCAGCTCTAGTTCTGTAAGGGGGGCTGGTGGGTTGGAACCGCATCGTGTCCCTTTGCCTGTCCCTTACAAATGTTACCGTGTCACCTGGGGTGTGAAGCTGCTGCTTGTGGTGTCTAGACTTGTGATTACTGAAAATTAATTAAACTGAAGGAAATTAGGCTGGAAGGGGAGTAGGCTCCTGGGAGGGGAAAATGGAAGAGAAAATTGGAGACTGGTGTTAACCCCTTCCAGCTACTGACATAGGAAGGGCTCTTAAATGCTCTCAAGGCCACTCAGATACACATAGAGAGTGAGCCGGTGTGATTTCAGGAGCTTTGCCCCTTTCACACTCAGACCCCACGCAGGCAGTGGCCATGGCCCAGGTGTGATGAGCACATTAGAAATGGGCAGCCCATTCTCCTTCCACTCATGTCATGTAAATAGGTCGCTTTATTGCTAGCCAGACCTGAAATAACTTGCAGATCAGCAATAGGTTTGAAACAAGCTGGTCGGATTGTGGATAAGGTCAGGGAAATGGAGGTGCTCAGATGTAATCTGATAATAAATCAGCACTTTATGGGATCAGGACAGGAGGCTGGATGGGCAGCAAAGGGAGGTGGTTGTTGTTGGACGGGTCTCTTCTTGCTTTTCCATAGCCTCTTACCTGTTCGTCTGCCTCTTAAAGTCTCTCTTATATAGCTTTTCAGCATGGTATCTGAGTGCTTTGTGCCTTCCCCTTGGCATACAGCCACCGTCTGGCTAGCGAGCAAGTACAAACTGTAACACCTGGGTGTCAGCTATGAACATTAGGGTGTGCTACAATGGACCCATCTGTAGTACTTGGCACATGCCGGGGATTTTTATGTGTGGTTGGCTGAAAAGCAGGATCAGAGAGAGAGAGAGGAGGGAGAGCAGGGGAAGAGGGCTCCGCTGGGCACGCGGAGAACATCATTTTGGCAAAGGTGCCAGTAGGTTTCCATGGGCTTGTCTGCTTCTTTGCTCAGCTCGTGCATTCAATAAAAATATCCAGGTTGTTTCTAAGAAAAGCAGGAGTAGATTTCCCCAAAGAGCATGATTAGAAACCTCATTCTTTGTCTCTGGAGAACAAATCTAACACTATAACTAGGTTTAATAAGAATACCTTTAATAGTAATAGATAAAATAAAAACCTGATTTAATAATAACTAGTTTTATTGTTTTTCCGCCTGATCCAGGTCCTGTTGACTGACCCCCTGAGCACCACAGGGTTTCTAGCTGGATCTGGAAGGGGGAGCGCTCTGCTTTTCAGGCTGTGGCAGCTTCAACAGTGTTGTGGCCTGGAATAAATTTCAGCCAGGAGCGTATGGGCAAGGGCTGCCTTTGGTGTTTCCACACTGATATCTTGAGCCTAAATAGTCATGATAGTTTCCAGTTTTATTCCATAGATGGAAAAAAGTGTCCCCATCTGAAAATGTCTGTGTATCCATGAGAAACCCCAGCAAAGCTAGGGAGTGAGTTTAGAGCAATAAATGGCGCTGTGGCTTATTGCATCAGACTCACCTAAGTGAAAACTGAAAACGTTTCCTATCCCCCTCCTCCCCACCTCCTTTATGTGTCACTGATGTGTTTTAAAATGCATGGGCAAAGTTTGTAGTTTATTTCCTCCAAAGGGGCCAAGTCCTCCTGGCATTCTTATGAACAAGCTCATTAGAATAAAATCCATTATGCGCATAACTAATGACACAAATTTACAAATCTGTTGACAATTATGACCATCTCCCTCATCGCATTTGCTTGTAGCTCGCTGGGCTGACCAGGTGAAGGAGTTCCCATCCAGAAGTTTTACAGCTCGCGAGCTCCCAGTGCAGCCATGTGAGATTATTTCCCAACAGGATTACAAAGCTGTCATTAGGCAGGGCAGCTCGGGAGGACCAGGGCACGAGACCGTAAACTGTCCTCGGGAGACCCGAAGTCATTTTGAAGGCAGCGCAAGATATTCCTGGCTGCAGAAACCATTTTATTTCACCTTGTTTATTTATCTTAGCTGGGGTTGGAAACACCCGCGCATGCACACAAACCAGGGCTGTTCCAAGCAGTGCCTGGCGTCCTCTGGAAATGAATAGGAATCAAATTGAGACGCCGGTGTCCTCCGAATGTTAAATATTTCCAAGTTCTTGCCAGGCGGGTGTAATTTATTGAATGTAGGTTTTGTGAAATAGTGCTTCTGTCAGGGGGGGAGATTGGCACCAGAGAAATGAAGGCGGCTAATTCTCAGGGGGTCCTCCCTGGCAAAAACCCTCTATTGAGTCCTCATGCTACTTGTGCTCATAACTGCCGAAAAACCAGGAGTGCCATCTGCAAACTGTGATTCATAAACACTCTGTCAGTCTGCCATCTACCCTGACATCATAAAATAACAAGAAGCAGCATTGTAATAAAGAGAGGAGGTTTGCAGTCAACCAATTAAATGCATCTAATTTATTTCTGTTACAGCTGAGGCTTTATTTATTAGTAAACAGCTGCATTTGTTACACTTTTTCTCCCCCCCCCCCCTTTTTTTCTCTCTCTCTTTACTAGGAGCGTGCCAACTGGCACTTTTGATAATCCATTAATCCTAAATAATCATCTGAGTACTTCATGGTTGGTAGGAATAAAAATGGGGGGGGGGGGGGGCGGGGGGGGGAAGGGTTATTAAAACTTAAAATGTAACCTTGCAAGGAAGCTGGAGAGCGCTTCTCCGCCATGGGTTTTGCATGAGTTATGGCGAGCTTAAGTTTGCAGGCCAAGTCCTACGCTCAATTTACACCTGCGAGTAACCAGCGTGACAGCCAGCTGAAAGGGCTATAAATCCCGGAGCAGGATCTGGCCCTGTGGATATTTTATTTTAGGACAGCCTATTTGTGGTACAAGAGGAGCATTTTGTGTGTTTGGTTTTAACTTGCCTCCTCCTTTCCCGGCGCTAACTTGATTCTCAGCAAAGCTAAAAATCTGCTAATTGGTTGTCAAAGTCTAATTAGCTGATATTAGGGTGAAAAAAAAGAGATAAGTTTGCCTTTTATAATTGGAGCTGACCACCCCCCCCCTTCCCTTCCCCTCCCCTTGCACCCCCTGGTGTGTGTTAATTGAGCTCCAGGACTTTCCAGTGTATTTTAATGCTCTCTCCTTTTCAGTGCCCTGGAAAGCTTTGCAGTTAATGAGACAATAATATGTACAATCAAGTAAAAATGTAGTAAAAAAGCCTAGGCAAAGCCGTATGGAATGGGGATGGTTTGAAGGTGTGCGGATGGGTGGAGGGACGGAACAGTTCACCAGCCCCCCTAAAGCAGCCTCATATGGTTAATAATGTCCTGTAATTTTTAATTTACCTTCCTGGGCATTTCCTTCCCCTTAAAAAGTGGAATGTTTGTTTGCTTGAGGATGTATTTTAGCAGTTAAGGGAAGAAGACTGTACTTTGTGCAGGAGTCAAATGAATGTGATGAGGATTCTCAAGAGGCCAAACTAGCCAAAACATTGGTCTCCACTGTATTTTATTCTCTCTGCATGTGTGTATAGACATATAATTACAAAATTCCACCTGTATCCAGAAACCAACCCTACCTTGAAGTCTATATGAGCCCTCACCTTCATCTTCTCCTGTACCATTCTTCCTATAAGTGCCTCTCAGGAGTGAATTACACACCACGGAGAAACTCTGTCCCTTACTCCTTGTTTTGGTATCTCATTTTTCAAGCCTCTTTATTGGTACACATTAAAGAAAACAATGTTTAAAAGCAGTGATCACAGGTGGGTGCTCTATATATGGGTGCTCTTTTTCAATATGTATAACGTTGAATTTACTTACTCAGTCATGTTTTCCTCTTTCTCCTCCTCCCATCTTCCTCCTCCACACCTGCTTTCAATCAGTCCCCTCTGCCCTGCCTGTCATCCTCTCCTCTCTGCTGCTTTTACCACAAACCCACTAACGTTATATTTCAAGTCAAACTTTCAAGCCCACGACATTTAAGCAAGTGAATCAAAAAACCCGAGTGGCTTCGCCAGCCTTGCCAGGCAAGGAGCCGGCTTGGCCCCAGGGAGCACGCGGGGGATGCTGGCGTCCGCTTGAGATGCTGAGGTGCAGCCAGTCGCAGGGTTTCACCCATCCTAGCAGTTGGAGTCTGTTTTTTTCCCTCTAAATCTCAAAGTATGGTTTGGTTTTGTGCTTGTTTGTTGTTTTTTTGTTTTTTTTCTCTAAAATCTAAAAAAAAAAAAAAGAAGAGAACATATTAAGGCCAAATGTTGCTGCTAGATGAACAACTTCAGATGTACGTGTCTTCTTCTTGTACGTCGCGTCTGCTTAGCAGTGTGTACCCTGACCACAATGGGTATCAGGCTGAAAGAAAGAAACAAGTAAAGCAGTGAGCCAGGCTACCTAGAAGACCAGATGTGTATTTATTTATTCTCTTGATTGTTGGTATAAAACTGGAGACTTTTATAGTAACTTATTTTAAACAATACCTGCTTCACAGCAACCAGACTGTGCTGGTTGGTGGCTGACATCCCAACTCCACAATGTTTTCTGATTGATATGGGCTGGAAAGTTTCATCCTTAGGCTCTTAATTAGGGACATAAGGAATCTGATTTCCCAATGTGTTAGGCAATGGGAGCTGGTAACTTTCTGTTCAGGAGGGTCATCTCCATATCATGGGTCTTGAGGCAATGTCATGCCACTGCGTCTCTCTGGAGCAGATATGATGGGGTTAACAAAGGTCAGGCTCTAGTTCTTGAAAGGCTCTTGGTGTTTTAAAGCCTGGTAGACTCCTGTTTTCATCTGTCACTAATGGGACAATGCAGCAGGGTGGCAAACAGTAACAAAAAGCTTTTCCATAAAGGACAACCTAGGTGATCATCACTATACCCTGCTAAGCATCTAAAAAATGGGAGTATAAAGTCTTCCAAGCCACTATGAGAAACCGGGCTCTTTTTTCCACGCAGGCAAAAATTGCACTTGCCTGTTTTGTTGTTGCTTCTTTGTTTTATCTTATTTGTTTGGATTTCTTGTGAAGAAAATGAGTCAACATGAGCACTGCATTTATTTAATCAGTTTGGGCTTGACTGTGGACTTCTGTAACCCTTGAGCAAAGCATAGAGCAGGCTGATGTCCTGCAACCCTGGTTGCTTCCTGCGGTGGCTTCCCATGCTTTGCCTTTCTAGGTCCTCTCTCTCCTGCACTACTCCTTGATCTCAGATCATTTTTGGAAAGCATCTGAAAAGCAGTCCCTGTTCAGTGAGACCTCACACAAACCCAGTTTTCCTCAAAGATGCAACCAAAAAGTAAGATGCACCCAGTTTCTTCTCCAGCACAGCACAAATTGTCTGATGCTAAGTGTTCCCAGAGAGGTGAGTTGTGATAATGTTCATTGCGCTGGGAAAGGGGCTGGTTGTTTTCCCTTTTGATGATTTTTCTCAAACACAACTGAAATTTTTGCTATAACTAACTGTATTTATATTTTTAATGACTCCAATTCCTTAGACTAATTTCCTCAGATGATAGTTATTGAATGCATCAAGTCTCACTGACAGTTTCTGTTTGCAGTGAAGAAATGGTGTTAAAACAGTTAATAGCAAAGGTGAGCCATCAAATGGGGTGGAAAGCTTGAAAATTGGTGCAGATTTTGTTGTGGGAATAAATTTAAAAAACCCCAAGCCCTGACAATCATTATTCTCAGATGTTGCTGGCAACCTTCTCCATTTAATAGGAACCTGTTGTTTCTGAAACTCAGTTGGCAACATAATAATGCGGCAAGAAACAGAAAACAAGCTCCTGCGGAGTACAGGCTAGAAATGCCACTATTGTATATTGTCATCAGCAGGTTGACTGACAACAACAGAAGCTGACTGATATTACTCTCTTGCTTTTGCAACATCCTCAGATAAAATCTGGTGTCTGCTTCTGCCTTTGGCAGGTCAACTTTCATGCTGCCACCCTGACTCAGATATGTTTTTAAGAACAAGGAGGGTTATGATAGAAAAGGATGGAGTGGGTATGACTAAATCTAATCGCTACTCCTCTTCAGAGGAGAGCAGTTGTTCAATTTTAGAGCAGCCTCAGTTTTCTGGGGCTACTCCTCTGTAAATGTGAAAACTGCCCTGGCCCTTCGGTGATACAGTAGAGCTCTTCATAAATAAACCTGATGGAGCCAGAAACTCTGTTGCTGAGGTTACAGCATCACTATCAGCTTAAAACACAGCGTTTGCGCTTAATGTTTAGTTCATTAACGCGTTCTGTCCATTGGCTCATTTGGATCTATTAACATAATTGTTCTTTTTAAACAACTGGGTCATTCTCTCTCCCCAAACAGAAAAATCAAAGCTGGCTTCAGTATTTTGGGCAAATCATGCAGCCAGATAAATACACATGCTCCTCTATAAACTCACCCTGGCTGAGATTAGACAAAAATGTTGTGAATCTACTTAGTGTCAGCCTTGAAGTGAGACTCATTGTGGGGCATATTGGAAAACAAACGAGATGGATACCTCTGCAGCTTTTCCTGTTGTAAACATCCTATGTCCCTCTGAAACCTAAAACAAAAACATTTTCCCAAGCTATTTTGATAAATCCATCTCCTGCCTCTGAACTGAAGGGCTGACTTTTATCCCGTTCTCTCCTTCTGGTCTGGGATGTTATAAGGAATATTCCCCTTTTTAATTTCCCTCCTGCTTGTTTCCACTTTTACTCATTTCATATTTTTTTTTAGGTGACATTGTTCTACTCGCCAAACCTGTAACTTTAACAGAGGGTGACAGGGTGACCTTGACGACAGATGTTCCTGTGGCAACAGATGGCACTAGCAAACCCGAGAAGCTGCTGTATGCCGTCTCCCTGCCACCTGTGCATGGTCAGATTGAGCACATCAATTATCCCGGCGTGCCCATTTCCAGTTAAAGCCAGTTGGATGTGGTGGCCCAGAAGGTCTCCAACGTCCACAACAATAGCCATGGGGCTGGTAAGGAGTCGGTCAGGTGAGAAGACTTCCCCCTTCTACCCCAGTGTGCTGAAAAGCCCTCAATCAGCAAAGGGTTAAGTTTGGTTCTCTTTCTCCCTGTACCAGTCACTGTAATATTTAACGACTGTTATGGTTGTGAAGACACTGCCACAAAGGCTATGATGATGTAATTTTATCATTATGGCAATTACATACTTTATTAAGTGTAATAGTGAAGTTGTAAGGCAACAGGAATCTTGCAGGCTTAATATTGGGGTGTACCCAGGTAGGCTTCCATGATCAATTGACAAATGAAATCAAAGGAGTTCGGTACAATGAAGAGTTTACCACTACTTTTGAGGTTTCCAGAAGTGGAAAAAGGGAAAAACAAATATTCCCCATCTGCAGCTGTCGGTGCTTTCTGGGCAGTTCGTTCTTCTGAAGAGGGGAAAAAAATCATAATCGAAACATTGTCTGAAACGATCAGGAGAACTTAATCCAGATGGTGGTGTCATTTCTAAGAAAAAGCATATGTTGGCCATTATGATACTTAAATATAATGGTTTTACATTCCTCTAGTGGGCACAAAAGGCACACAACAGAGTTGGCGGGGTTTTTTAATCTTCTGAATGGTGGCAGTGGTGGTGGAGTGGTGGGAGATTTTTATCTTCCAAATGGTGTTTTTCCCAGAAGATATGGCAAATTCAATTGAGGAGAGCCTGCTGTAAAAGCCATGTTCCTGCGGAATGTAAATTTGTGCCTTCCTCTAACCAGTAACAGTGGAGAGGTTTAATTTACTGCCCCCTTTGGATTATCATCATTTTTTATATATTCTTGTGGCTTTTCCCTTTTTTTCTTTTTTTTCTTGCTTTAACATGTTTTTCTTTCCGATTTGCTTTAAAAGTTATTTACGCTCCCTTTGCAGCAAAGTGGGCACTATAACTAATTTTATTCTTACCATGATTAACTATGAATAATTTCCAAAGAAATGAGTCAAATTAACAAGGGGAAGAAGGAATCAATAAATCAAGCAAGCAGCCTATTTCTAAGTGGGGTTAAAACCACCATTAAATAAATCACAGACTCTAAATGATGACCTGCTTGGATATGGGGAAGGGAGAAATGTCCATTTAAACTGTGCTGAAAGTTAAAAGGAAAGTGTGGGCCAGCATCAGTGCTCCCGCTGTGCTGTACAAGGAGAGGGGCACATGAGAGGGAAGGAGATTTGGGGAAGGACCCTGGGAAAAGGCAGAGAGGAGGGATGCGATTTTCCTGGTTGCTACAGGCCAGCTGCAGGGAAACAGCCAAGGAGGGGTAGAAAAGCTCTGGCTTTTGGACATGGAGGCATAAATGTTATTTAATTGCACCTTCTGCCTCCATCCCTGCTCTGTGCAGGAGCTCAGGAATGCAGGGGCTGACCTGACCTCTCTAGAAATACCTGAAATGTTTTCACTGCCTTGGTAGTTCATTCTTTTTCATTGGCTTTCATAGTCACAATTTTAGGCCCACCATGCTTGTTCACTGGTCTACATTCTATCCTTTTAATCTTGCATTAAGGGTCATATTTTGTCTGATGGCACACTGAGGGCGGTGATGATACCTAGGTCTAGATTTTCATCTCTCCTGCTCATTGAGACTTATAAATCTAATTTTTACACAAGGAATTCCATCACTTTTGCAGGAGAGTGCCTCATCCATCTTCATGCCAGTATGTAAAGACATCCTTAAACTGCAGGAAAATTAGGCAGACTTTCCTTCCCAAGTTTTCTGTGGGAAAGAAGGGGTCAAAATGCTTGTTCCTTAGGTAAAAGGGGGAGGAGGGGGAAGGGAGGGAGAAGCAATTCTACTTATAACCTCCCATTTTGCAATTCTTTTTATGATCTTTCTTGCTCCCTGAACACATGTATGAAATGGCACCAGCTCCCTGCTCCCTGGGAAGGGGTACCTATTACCTTGCCTTTTGGGCCAAAGGTTGTCAGCTGGTTTAAATCAGTGTATCTCCATTTGCTGAAATGATGCTGTAGCCATTTAAACTGTGGCTTATAAAGTTAGTTCATAAAGTTGCTGAGGGGGTCTCTTTCCTAATGTACTTTGTAGTCGTGGGAGCTCACCTCTTTTTTAGTGGGACCGATGAGTATTCCATGGACTCAAGGTGATGTGGTGTTCAGGGTTTGTCCTTCCTCTCTTTTGCCCACCTAGCTGCCGTAGGCATGATTTGGTGCTGGTCTTTTGGCAAAGCTATGCAGGAGATTAGAGAGCCACAAAGCACCACAGTCACTGCCTGCCCACAACACCCCTAAATGTTGGTAAGAGTATTTCAGGGAATGAAAATGACATGATGAAGCCTCATGCCTTCATCCTTCCTGCTGAGCTGGCACTGAACCAGGGGAAGAACATGAGCATCTTCACCCTGCTGTCCTCCATGGTGGCCTCAGCAGGTGAATCATGCTTATCTAGTGCTTCTGCACTCATTCTTAATCTTAATCTTGTTCTTTAATAATAAATGCTGCTGAACAGTGTAGTTCTTATGGAGCAACCAAAAATGAAGTCTGCTTTTTCCTGAGCGCTGTATAAACACAGCCTGGGCTGATGGACTCGTCTGGGGAGGACTGGACCCCCATGATGGCCATGGAACTCGTCTCAGTTTCCTGCCTTCCTGTGGGGGACAGAGAGATCAGGACATTAAGGATGGGCAGGGAGCAAAGGAGCAGCAGTGGGGCTAATGTGGGGAAAGCTGGAGGTCCAAGGAAGGGATTGCAAAGGGCAGAACTGGAGTGAATGGGCCAATTGTCCCTGCAGGTGCCATCTCTGCCTCCCTCCTCTTCCCATTTCCTTCCAAAGAAAGTATTTATGGGCTGGTATGGGACTGCCAAACCCAATGACATCAGTGGCCAAGTTGTCTCTGAGGAACGTGCAACCTTATCCTCTCTCAAATATGAGGGAGATGCCAGTGGAAGGGAAGGTGTAGGAGGATGCTGAAGGAGAGGTCAGCCTCTGCCATGGGGTTGTGAATTGGGTCCAGCAGCCCTGCTGGGTTGAGGGAGAGAAATGGGGGACTTGTGTTTCAGACATGAAAGAGTTAAAACACAGGGATTTAAAAAAAAAAGAAGAAATCCTTAAAAAAACCCAACCCTCACGCACACACTCTCACACACTCTCACAAAACCCTGCACCCTAAATTAATTTCTGCTGGTAATCTATATCGGGTTAAATAACGCCTCATTATTCTGCAACACAGCTGAGGCTTCTCAAAATGTTTATCTTGTTTTGTAACTGGTACCTTCTGGCATATTCCAGTGCCAACTCTCCTAGCTCTTGCTATATTTCATTCTCACTATTTTTGGAATGGAGCTGCTGGTTCCAGGTGATTTAATAAATTGCTTTTTTTTGTGTTCCTTTTAACTTACCCATCTGCTCAACACATGCGTAACTTGCAATCTGTCGGCAGTTTGCAGAAAGACAAACTGTCAGAGCTGCATGCATTTGACAACTTTGTTCCCAATTAGATTAGTGGTAATTTTAACAGATTTCAGGGCAATCGAAAAAAGGGATGACATGTTATTAAAGCATCAATTTTGACAGACCCAAGCACATACAATTTCAGTGTAAATTATTTTAAATGCTTTAATTAAAGCTATGAAAGATTTACCCTTTTAAGCGGTAAGTGATTGCAAGACAAATATAAAGGGAAAGTGGATAACAGAGTTTCCTAAATGGTTTATGCTGCGCATGGCAGTCCACAAGTCACCACCACCATAATCTATGACTGTAATGTTGGAGGCATAGTTAATTATTCATAGCCTCATCTCTGGAGCAGACGTGATTAAGAACATGAGGAGCATTCAGAGATCTAAGCAGTACCTATGAAAACTGGAGTTCAAGCCCCTCTTGGTTCGGATGCTGTTGGGAAACGTTTTAGGGGTATCTCACATTGGTGGATATTTTAATGGATATCCTTTCATTTTGCCCCGGTTCTGCTCTGGTTTAGATGGCTGAAGCCCAGTGGTCAGGGTGATTGCAGATTCAGAGCAATTGGGGATTTTCTATACTTGAAGACACTTTACAGGCTGTGCAAGTCCTGTAAAAAATAAAGAAAAAGAAAAAAAATACATTTATTATTTAAATAGAATAGAGCACTCTAAATTCGCCACTCCAGGAGCACTCTAACACATGTGTAGCTCATTTAACCATTTAAAGGACGTTCTGAATTATGGCCCCCTTCCAGCAACCTTTGTTCAGGGCAAGGCTGACCCTGGATTCGTGGCTGGAGGACTGGGGCTTGGCTTCTCTTACCTAGCCCTTAGGTCCCAGCTGGAGGACCATCGGCCTCTTTGCAGTCACATCTTCATCTTACAATGCAAATGTTGGTCTGAGTTGGGAGCCAAAACCTTCCAGGACATTTCTCCAAGGGCTTTGTTTATTTTCTGTGTGGCTGGCTGTGCAGTGCAGAGCTGTTTCATTTTCAGGTTGTTAAATGTGCATATTGCTTTAGCGTATAAACTACTGGTCCCACAACCTGCACTGAAAGTTTATTTCCTTTTTAATTCAGGGATTGCAAGGCTTCCTGATGCTATTTAGAGTAAAAAGCAACAAGCACACTGTTCCCACCCTCCCCTGTTGCTTAAAACCAAGCTTGCATGCATCTGTTTTCGGTTTTTTAACTTGTTTCCTTCAAGGACGGGTATGGCTTGGTACTATTTTCTGAAAAGCTTAAAAGTTTTTCTCTGGGAGGTTGCTAACCCAAAGCATTGCAGTGCCAAAATGCAATGGAAGTGAAAGAAGCTGCTTCAGCAAGCACCGCAGGAAGCTTGTCAGAGCCCATGGTCTCTTGCCCTTTCTAGCTGCTTGACTGCTGGAATATGCAGTGATTTGTAACTGGCACAATGTGTCCATCAAGTAAGATGAAACCCTGATGAAAGTGTCTCACCATCTTTGGGACTGGTTTTGATCTGTATGCAAATACTGTTCTCTGCTTTGCAAGTCTGAGAACCAGACTTTAAAGGGTTTCACAGCTGGGACAGCTCCTAAATCATCTCATATCCCTTCTTCTACTGTTCTTCTTGTCTGGCGTGCACCAGAGAGGCTTCATTTAATCAATCAACCTACTCAGATGTGCACTGGTTAAAGATCAACCTTACTGCACGTCGGTCAATAACCACTGGCCTCTTGGGATGTCTGCCTTTGCCATGAAAAATCACCTTCCTTCTTAAAAAGTGAAGGAGACCATGCATCAGAGATGAGAGTTTAAGAACAAGATTCTCCTTGTGAGCCCTCAGATTGATTATGTTAGAAGGCCAGCAAGCATGGTTGTTGCATTTACCCAGCATAACGGGTAACGGGCAAGCAGATGAATATGAGCAACTGTAACAGATAATGTCAATGCTGATATCAGGCCACTCATGCTCACATGTATCAAAATGGTGGACAAGGGCACAGGGAATCCTTCCCAGAAGTCCTTCACCAGGCAGCCCTGCACAGCCTTTCAAAACACCTTTTGTGTATATATTCTTCTCACCTTGGTATAGCCCTTTTGCTTGTGAAAGAGACTGTTGTATGTCAGGTCCAATTTAATAGGATGAAAATACTCCACTGGCACAAGGGAGATGCTCAGAAATATGGAAACTTTTATTTTATTGGTATGAAGTCAATTGTGGTTTTCTTGTCAACAGGCCAAGAAAGGAGCCAGTGGGAGCTGTAATGCAGGTGAGTCACTGACTGTCTACCCTGGTCTTCTGATGGCACCACCAGAGTATTGAATGACAAGAATGTGATGTACAGGCTAAGATTTAGCATGAAGAAGGTTGGAGAAAGCAACATCTTGAATGTTATGGTCTTTTCCTTGCTCATTAGCACTTTCCCTTCTGAAGGAGCTCTAATTGTTTGGTCCAAAACACGATGACTGCATAGAAGAATACTAGAAGAATACATAGAAGATAGGTCTTATCTTCATGACAGATTAGAGTCATGATAGGGGCTCAAAAACTTGAAATCTGGAAAATCTTTCAATTTTCAGTAAACTTACCTGAAGACTGTAGGTCCGTTAGAGTTTCTGAGATCAAATCACTGGTGAAGGTAGTCCCTGTAAATTAAAGAGAGACCTAAAATTGCATATTTAATCAAGTCACATCCAATGCAGAGCAAGAAACCCAGCTTGCATACATATTGAGCTTTGCTGCCTAATCTATTTTATAATGTTTTGCAATTAACAGGCCAGTGTTCATCAGCTGATAAATAATTAACAGCTGTTGTTGTTTCTAGGGCATGACGTAGAAGGCTTACATAGGACAAAAACTAGCTTGAGTTGTTTGCCAAAACTCTGACCAAACATACACTTGCAGCTCACAAAAACAAATTTCTCTGAGGACTTGCACTTCCTGGGAGTCCTCTCTGTGAGCCTGCCAAACTTACTAGAAATGAAATATTCACCTGCTCTTTTTGTCAGCCACCTATTGGAAATCTGAGATAAAAGCTTCACTTTTTACCGGCATTATTCAGACAAATCAAGAAGTTGAGTGTAAGCACAAAGGGTTTTCTTATGATTTACCTACGTTCAGTAGTGTCTGTAGCTTTTCTAACGTCACACACAGAATTGTTTGATCTTTGTTCCAAAACCTCAGATCTGGGAGGAAAGAGATTGTATCTGGTGAGATGTAACCGCCCCTAATGGCTTTAAACAAATGTGGTGGTCTAATTGTTCTTTATCTGAAATAACTAAAAACTGACTTGCTGTAAATTCTGGTTACAAATAGGAGATGCAGAAAACAGATCATTTGGGAGCACCCTTTGACTGCATCTTGCTGGATGTCTCAGCAGCTTGCAACTCTTTTTATTTGTTTACTTGCATCAAGTTTCAATGACAGTTTGCATGAGCTGTGAATGGCGATATGAGGAATACCTCCAACCAAATTTACACTGGAGGAGAGTTCAGTGGCTTACTCCAGAGCTTTTCTGATTTTTTTATAGTACATGCTCATCAAGCAATTACAAGCACTAGTGGCTGAGGGAGGGAGATGATTCCTGTTTACATCATGCACAGCTATCGGTGATTAAGCAAGTCCATACCATGCTCATGCAGAAGTGAAGTCTACCACACAGGCAAGCTTTACTTGTGTTGTAAAGGCTTCTACTGCACCAAGGAAGCATGTTTCTTGACCGTGGTTTTTATCCAATAGTTTCATACAGTTTGTCACATAGCTGCAGACACATACCATGCTTCAGGAGCATCAGAAAGAAAAAGGTCAGAAACTTGAACATGTCTCCAAATTAAAATTATGAAGCTATTGTAGACAGTTGAGGGTAGACATAATGTATTTGTGTCAGTGAATGCCACTGAAGAGATTTTCTGTAACATTTTGTACTATCTGGAGTTTCCTAAGTGCTGCCGGCTTCATGCCCAGGTATATTGTTTGCTGTAATACAGCCAAGTGACCAAGGTGTGAAAAGCTAAAGCCAGGTCACTATCTGCCAGGATGGGATGCAGTCTCCCAGCCAACTGAGTATGGTTGGAAGTGCTAATTGCTGCTATGAGAGCGCTGAATGTACTTGTGGATTCTTCTCAATGTGGGTTTTTCTTTTTTTCTTTAATCATGAATGTGTGGTTTAACCAAAAACTCTTCCAAATACTCTCCTCTGCATACTAACAACTGTCTCACTTGGGTTCAACTTCACCTACCTCTTGTGCGTATCTCAGGTTACCTTGACTCAGCATTGGTATTTCTTCCTGGTATAGGCATGACTGTGTGTGGTAGAAAATAGACATGTTTGTTTTCTGTGCCTTGCCAGCACTGAAAATGCTTACCCTCAGTTGTGTATAAATATTGAAAGAGCTGGAAATATGTCTTGGCAGATTTGATACCCCAAGGTAAAGATACAGGCTTAAACTTTGTTCACACGTTGCTTCTTGCAGGTGAGATGGCAGTGCCCAGTGTAAGTGGTGTTCTATAAAAACAGGGTCCTGGAAGGAGGAGAGTGGATTGTCATCATCTCCATTGGTGGGATGGGACCTTGGGCTGTTGGCAGCAGAGCTGTTTCAGCTCTGGGTTTGGTGTGAGTCCCATTTGTGCATAGGTCACACTGAAACAGTGTTCAGCTTCTCAGAGCAGTGTAGCTATGCTGATCAGGCATCAGAGGTTCATGGTGGATGTTAGTTTAGTCATGTATGGAGAGGGAACTTCTTTAGAGGTGGTTGTTTGAAAGAGCAAGAAGCACTGCTTTGCTGTATGACACTGGGACTGTTTGGTTCAAGAGAAGAATTTGTGACTCTTCCTCCAAACCATGGTGCTAAAATCAGGATCGTTGGTGGCTCCTGTTGACTGATTGTCTCTTATAACACTCTGGAGTGGCCACTGCAGTAATGTGATCATAACCTGTGCTACCAGTGGTTGCAGCATCCTCAAAATTAACAGGAAGGCTGAACATGTGGTTAAGAGTGGCTTAGATCAGAAATTACTGAAGATCTTTAGCCAGGGGAGGCCTGTGTATGAACACAAAACACAAGGGTTTGGTTATAATTTCCTTTTGGTAGCAACCTGGCTGTTATTCTTTCTTTCCCTTTATCTTGCAGACTTCAGTGAAATCAAATCTTGCATCCTGCAAGAGCAGAGCTCTTTGTTTTAGAAAGGACAGATTTTAAAGCCAAGGTAACTCCCTTCACCCCAGCAGGATGAGTATCAGCCTACTGGCAATGGGGACCCACAGCTGTCTCCTGATATTTGCAAGCCTCCTGGTACATATGCAAGCCCTCCATCTCACCCATGGAAGGAAACCTGTGCCTTTAAATGCCCTCCCAATGGCGAGTGCACACTTTTCTGCTTATTCTGAACTGACAGGTTTAGCATGTCGCCTGCCTGGTCACTAGAGAGGCACCTCTGGCAAAAGTTCAGAAGTCAGTGTTTTGGAAAGATTGGTTTGACCAGCTCTCAAGTGAGAGCAAATCCCAGACCAAAGGCAGTCAAATCTTCAACGACATTTAACCGCTGTGGTGCTGTAGCTTGCTGACATCCTTTTAACCTGGAGAGGAGTGTTCATTGCTTCAACCTTCAAGTTTTATTTATTGTTTCTTTCCTTCTCTGTTGGCAGGGGGATGCTGGGGTGAAGGCAGGTTGTTTTGCCTTTATCCTAATTCATTAATTAGCTTGCGTATCATTCTGGCCCAAGACTGCAGGACAGACTAGCAGTTTTGGATGTTGCCTTGGTATCTAGACTTCCGCGATATATAGTGTTGCAGTAAGGACATATATTCCCTTATTGCCTCTTCAAGGCTTGTTTTGAAGAGGTCTTAAGATTTACTGCATCTTGCTTTGGAAAACTGCCAGTTCACAACCTTTTTCTCATCCTTCAGTATTTACATTGAAGGGCAAAATGTCTTAAAAAACCAAAGAAACAAAAAAAGAGCATACAAACAGTTAATAGTAAGTGGTGCCCAAATTACATATTTCTTAAACTCGTGGCCTACTTTACTGATCAGTTGTCATAAGATGTCAGATGGGGACCCATCACTGAAGAACTGCAAAATGCAGCCAGTGAAGCAACTAATTAGTTGGACAGTGGCATGGAGGTGTGTGTCCCCACGGAGCTGAAATGATCAGAGCAGGTGAAAAAAGTTTGGACAGATCAGTATCTCTGCAGTAAAAAAAACAACACTCGCCTGAATCACACGGATGCTGAGGGTGAGGGTACCACAGGTCCTCCATCAGGGACCATGCATGGCAAGGGACTGCAGTACCACTGTTTCCAGGAAGAAAGGCGAGTCAGCTGAACGCTTGAAGGAACATGACCTGAGATGTGCAGGAATTAGAATAGTTGAGCAGTTTCTGGGCTTCATTTGAGAGAGCTGTAGCCGGCTAGCTTGCTCTCTGATGGCTTCTTACTCACTCCCAAAGCCTTGGCTCGCCAGCCACTAAAAAAGTCAGTGTTGGTTATTCCCTGTAGGGGAATAACCTACCATCACAGGTAGGTGATGGTCATTGAGCTAGCAGAGTGGAGGCTCCATTGTCTCCTAATGCAGCTGGGTTCAAAAGACCCTCAGACCTCTGGAACAAATGTAAAAGCTTCTGTTGAGCTAAAAGATGTAAAAGACTGAAGCTTATGAACTTTGATAGGTGGCCCATATACTCTTGTAGCACAATCTGTTTTAAGTGTGCTGCATGACTTTTTTCTCTCTTTTCCTTCATTCCACCCCTATACAGGTGCACCCCTGCTGCACTCATGGAGTTTTGTTTCCCTATACAAACTCCATAGGTGCAGCAGCAAAACAAATCCTCTCCAAAACTCCTCTAAAGAGAAAGTCTCCTCACCCTGCAGGACTAGAAAGAGTCAGCATGGGATGCCAGAAACCCCTTCACATTGGCAAGTCATTTGCTTTCACAGCAAAAATAAGGACCTCATCCTCAGCCTTTTCTCTTCTGGTAGATGGAAAACTCTGACCTAGGTGTTTGACTTGGGATCTTTAGTGCAGCAAGTCCTCAGTAGAAAAACCTTCCTTTCAGCACTTTGATTTTCAAATTGTTATTGCACAAGATAATAGGAACTGTTGTATTAAGTATTACTAAGTAATATCAAGCCATATGGTTGTACAAATTAATGCCACAGGAAGTATCAGAAGATGTGTTTCCAGACCTGCAGGTCACTTTTGGACCCTTACTCTTGCAACTGCTTAGCTCAACGCAGTGCACAAATGGGACTGTTCAACATGCATCTTCGGTCAGCACTTACTGGGTCTACCCAAGGAAGGGGCTGCTGTGGGGCTGCTGTGGGGCTGCTGGTCCTCCTCTGACTGCGTGGCCAAGGCTGGCAGATGGACTTGGAAGACGCCTTGGACAGGTAACATAAACCACATGCCCTGGCAGAAATGCACTCACCAAACCCACGTAAATGCTGTCTAAAGGTGTAAAACTGAAAGGGCACCAGTTCAATTCATCCTGTTGAATTCAGGCGAAGTACTTGCTCAAGGGACAGATTCTCAGTTCCAAAAATATTGCTTCGACCTCTGAGCTGCCAAATTCCTTCCTCCATTACCTCCCATCTTTCTTTTCAGTATAGCAGCTACTCTGAGTCATTGTTTATCTAATTTAATTAACATTTGCCAGTGCCTGCAACCTAAAACACTGTCTTAAAACATTTGCTTGAAAAGCCTCCTTGTCCCAGAGCTGTCATATTTTAGCATGACGGATAATGGATAGAAATAATTATCC